CCATACTGTAGCTGTCCAAGGCCTCAACTTTGCACTGGAAATGACGCCGCTTGGCTTCCCGGCCAATCCTCTCAGCGGTATCTTCGGCAGTTCCAGTCTGGCTCCCAAAAAGGACAAGGATCTTCCGTGCTGCCATCTAAAGAAAGCAATTGGGGGAGGGGGGATGACACACAGCAGATGAGGAAAACCCTTCACCTCTGCTGGTATTTTATTAAAAGCCAAATATTTCCCCAATTTTTAAAGAGGATGGGGGAGTTCATAGGTATCGATTGCAAATGAAGGAAAATAGAATGTAAACCAGCTGCACCTAGAATATAACTTGCTGCAAAACAGGATCCCTTGGCTTTGAATTCTACACCCCACAGAGGCCAGGATCAGAGGCTGTGAGCACAGCCACTTGCTCGCAGGAAAGCAACAAGGAAGGTGCCAGCTGCTCCCAAGCAGAGCCTGCCTTCCTTGTAGCGATAATAGCAGAGAGAGATTTTGGGAGCGCAAACATTCCCATTTGCAGCTTTCAAGTGGCTTCTCTTTCTGATCTGCGCAGATTGGGCCATGCCTTCTGGGAGAGTTTAGACTCGTTGTACTGCTTTGGTACAGCACCTTTTTAAAAACAAACCGCAGAGCTGGCAATGCAGGTCTTTGTTTCTTACAGAACTGTAATTTAGCAGGAATTGGCAACCTCTGGTCCCAAATGGAGTACCACAAGGCCTGCCCCATAAGATCAGACCACACCAATGCTCCCTCTAAGCTGTGGAGTCTTATGAGCAAAAATTCTACTGGCATTAAAGTTGTGAATGAGTGATTTGGCTACTGCATACATTAGCTTGCTCTGGAGCCATCCGTCCTGAGCTAAGGCAAAAATGTGTGAGCTGGAGGCTAAAAAACAGAGCTAGCTCACACTAACTCAGCTTAGAGGGAACACTGGACCACAGGCTTATCTAGTCTGGCATTCTGTTTCTGAAAGAAATGCTTCTAAGAAACCCACAAGCAAAAAAGAACGAGGCAACAGCCCTCTGCTGCGACTTCTCTCCTGTGACATACTACCTCTGCACATGGAGGCTCTGTTCTGCTATCATGACAGAAGTTGACAGATCTGTCCTTCATAAAGTTGTTCAATCACTTGGTTAAACACATCTAAACTACTATAGCAGCCTTCAGAAGCAGTGTTCAAACAGATCACTTGATGCAAACAGGATTTGAGAAAAATTCTAGGCATCTAAACAATGAATATTGCACCCAAAAACCTTGGCATCTTCCCTCCATCTCTCCTGAAGACTTGCACCTACAGATCTAAGACTGGCTCCTAAGAAGGAAAATGATCCTGTCATCTATAGAATATAAAATATTTTTGCAAGTCTTCAGTGTGAACATATGTTCCCATATGAAGATACCTTATGCCACTGGCATAAGCTGAGTATCGTCACTCTGACTGGCAGTGAATTTTCAGGGTCCCAGACAGAGAGGAGAAGCCAGAGTAGCACAGTGGATGGAGTGCCTGGGACACCCAGGTTCAAATCTCCAATGTGCCATGGAAGCTCACTGGGTGACCTTGGGCCAGACACTGTGTCTCTCAGACTAATCTACCTCACAGGGTTACAGTCCCAATAAAATGGAGGAGGGCAGAATGTTGTGAGCCCCTTGGGATCCTCCCATGTGGCGGAAACAAGGGCATGAATGAAGTAAAAAAACATAAATGTCTTCCCCAACACCTGCTACTTGAGATACATCCACTGGAGATTCCAAGGATTGAATTTAGGACAGGTGCTCTGCCACTGAGTTATTGCTCTTTCCCCTTCCTTCTAGAAGCATTGTCAAAAACAGCCCCATCAGTCAACTTTCCTTGGAGGGAGAAGTCATTATTCTTTATTGCCTAGCACAAATCCAGATATGCAGGTTCTTCAACTGGAACATCCTAGACATAACCACTTAGTTGCTGTTTATGGCCTCTCTGCTACAGAATCTGCCCTTCTCCCTTGGAATGTGCTGACTTTCAAGATCTCGAAAGAAGGGCACTGAGGAGGCTGCATTCTTTTCCATCTTGCACAACTATCTGAGGTAATAAGTAACAGACATTCTGTTTACACCAAAGCCACTAGCCAGCACTTTTACCACGCTCTAAAAACTTAAACAAACCAAAACATACAATCAATTAGCACAGAGGAGGGAAGAAGCAAGCACACTGCTCTGCACTCTAGGAGGAAAAATTATAATAAGAGCATAGTTCAAGTATTCAAAGCACTTCACATACAGTATCCCAGTAACCCTTACAACCATCCAACAAGGTAGGTATACTTCATGTTGCAGATGTGGGACCAAGACAGCAAGAGAGGCTTGCCATAGGCCACAGTGACTTCATGAATCGAGATGTCAAACCAGGATATCCCAGCTCTTTGTCTTAACATATATTCTATACCTGTCTTCTTGTGTAGAAACACTATGCAACAAAGCAACTTCAAGCCAACTTTCCAAATGCACACACACCACCACCTGGATAGCTCCATGTTTCACACATACATGAGGTAGAGAGTCACAGACTGACACTGACATTGAACAAATGCATAGAACTGGAACACTGCAAGAGACTTTGCAAAGTAAAAGACAATTCCCTTCTTTGCGAACATCTCAGGGTATTCTGGAACCAACACACAACACTCAAAATCTTGCCTTCTCCCACACAAATACTGGTCAAGTCTAATTATTTGGTCTCCCAACTAACCACTCCTGGTACAGTACTTTGAAAATGTAAACTGTGACAAAAGCTTCATGAGTTTGTCCTCAAAACAACATGAAAAAGATGCTGCAGTTCTCATTTTATAGATGTGGACCTGAGCTTTAAGGGGCAGTGACTTTTGCCAAGGAGTTAGGGCAGACTTGGTCCAAAGTCTCCCAGACCTGGCTCTGTTTCTAGTAAATCACAGGAATCCTTTTTCTCTCCTATTAACACGATCATCCCTCCCTTTTTCTGAGCTCCTACACTGGCATGTTCTGAATCAGATTCAAGCATTTACCATTCAAGCTCTCCATCTCCCTGCCTCCAACAGTATACGTAACTCCTTCACCTCCCTTTTTTTGGTTAAGAGACTCTCCTACCTTCTTGCTTCCTTTCCCTCTTCCATTATGTTGCTTCCTCTGACTTGCATCATTCTCTCCTCATCTCAGCTTCTTAATCAAACTGTTCCCTTCTCATTCCTGAATCTGCTCAGATTCACTGCAGGTGTCCCCCACCCATTATGATAACTATCAAACAAAGGCCTATGAGCCAGCCTTCAGCTGTGCAAACCGATAATTCATCCAAGCTTTCCTAGCAAAGGCCAGTAGGGGGGGAACTTCCTGAAGGTTCTCACTTTTACTTAAAAGCAAAAGTCCCAGAGGAAGGTTATAAATAAAAATAAAATAATAATAATAATCTGATTCTAGGAGGGCTGAAATCATTGACCATAATAGCGCAAATCTGCATACCTACTTGTTAATAGCAGCAAGAAGATTACCATGAAAGTAGCAACTTTGCTCTCTAAAACATAACTTTAATGATCAGCACAGACTGGACTTTGCTTTTCCATGCTTTATGAACTGCTTTTTGCTTATTAAGTCTTTAAAAAATTATTACCACATTTATTTACAGACTATATTCATAGAATCATAGTATCACAAAGTTGGAAGGGGCCATACAGGCTATCTAGTCCAACCCTCTGCTCAAAGCAGGATCAGCCTAGACTAGAGCATCCCTGACAAGTGTTTGTCCAGCCGCTGCGCCGCTGCTTAAAGACTGCCAGTGAGGGGGAGCTCACCACCTCTAGGCAGCTGATTCCACTGTTGCACAACTCTTACTGTAAAGACGTTTTTCCCTAATATCCAGCCAGTACCTTCCTGCCCTTAATTTAAACCCATTATTGTGAGTTCTATCTTCTGCTGCCAACAGGAAGAGCTCCCTGCCCTCCTCTAAGTGACAGCCCTTCAAATAGTTAAAGAGGGCAATAATGTCCCCCCTCAACCTCCTCTTCTCTAGTCCCTCAGCCTTTCCTCATAGGGCTTGGTCTCCACAATCTTTATTATTATTATGAATTACCACAGTCTTTATTATCATTATGAATAATCACTGCATTTGCCTTATATACATTTCTGTTTTGCAAATATCAAAAGCTGTATTTTATTTCATGGCCTTTTGCGCTATTTGCATTTTTTCTCTCTAACATACATCTGTCAACAAAGTGTAACACTGTAGACATTTGACAAAGTGACCTCTAGCTTGAAAAAGCTTCTACCACAATAATGTAGTCTTTAAGGTACCACACGACTCTATGTTGCTTTGGCTGCAACTAACTAGCGCTGCACACGCCATGTAACCACCTATCACATTCTTACCCTGTCTTTCCTGCAAAGGAACTTGGGGCAACACCTTTTCCATTTTATCCTCACAAGTCACACTGAATGACTAGCAAGGTTACCCAGTGAGCTGCCTGGGAATCTAAATCCAGGTCTCCCCTGTCCTTTGTATGTCACTCTGATACCCACCCCCAGACCAGAGCTACAAAGGTTACAGTTAAAGTCTGGAAAGGAGGCACCGTACTCTGCACATGATCAGAGGTACCTTTCTTCTTTACTGCAACCTTACTAAACCACCAACGGGTCTGAGCTCGAATGGGTCGCCCAGTTCCCACCAGGTACCGGACGCACGGCTAACCCTCCCGGTTTTCCTAACTTGTTCGAGAAACCCCCACTCTCCCGGCACTTCACCTGAGTCAAACCCGGCATTGTTTCTCTTCCGCATACGTCATTAGACCACGCCGGAAGGCGAGACAAAAATGTCGGAAACGGAACTAGACTGCTGGCTGCGGCGAAAACAACCGGGGTTCCCTTTCTGGCTTCCCCCCCACCTTCGCCCCCGTCTTCCGTTAATCTGTGCGCGCTCCCGTCTCCCTGCCTTCCCGGGGCGCGCTCGTTTGATCTCACCATAAAGGGAGAAAAAAAAGAAGATCCGGGGCGCGCTCGTTTGATCTCACCATACCGGCTTGCGGCAGGAACCGTCGCCGGTTGCACACGCACAGCATCGTCTTGCCTCTGGACTCACACAGAGACGCAGCCTTCTCTTCGGCCAAGCTCGGTCTGGCCCAGCCGGGCCAAGCCTGCTCTTTGCAGGCAGTGGGGAGTTCCCTCCACCCACGCATTCCCCCTTGAGTGGCGCGATGCTCTTTTCTCTGCGGGAGCTGGTGCAGTGGCTGGGCTTTGCGCCCTTCGAGCTGCTCCTGCAGGCCCTGGCGCTGCTGGTGGCATCGGTGCTGCTGGTGCTGAAGGTGGACGGGGTGGCGACGGGGCTTAGCTGGTGGGGAGTCTTTGCCCCTTTCTTTGCCGCCGATGGACTGAGCACCTATTTCACCACCATTGTCTCGGTGCGCCTCTTCCAGGATGGTGAGAAGCGCCTAGCTGTGCTGCGCCTTTTCTGGATTCTCACTTTGCTTAGCCTCAAGTTTGTCTTTGAGATGCTCCTCTGCCAGAAGCTGGGTGAGCAGAGCCACGAGTTGTGGTATGGACTTATCATGGCACCTGTCTTCATCCTCCTTCAGCTTCTCATGATCCGGGCCTGCAGGGTCAACTAGATGCTATCCTGCATCCTTCTGGTGCTGCAGGGACATCTAATTTCTCCAACACTTGCAAGAATAATATATCCCACCTGAAATGGCTGTACAAGGATGTTGTCCTGCCAATGATTAGCTGACTGCCAGCTTGCATACAAGATCAATCTGTGGTTTAGCTGGAGAGATACTTTTGCTCTTCTTTGCCGGCAACAGATTTAACTCTTTCATATGCGCTGTGTCAATATATCTTTCAGGGTTATTCTTTGTGGTTAACTGGCTGCCTCTCACTGGTGTTCCAGGATTAGGCATTTGCTGAAAAAGTCACCTGACTTTCTGTCTTGACATAGAAGAAAGAGGAACAACTGACAAGACATTTTTGTACTGACAAGACATTTTTGTACTGACAAGACATTTTTGCACCCATGTCATGTATGGATTTGGGGTTCAGACCAAAAGCAGCTCATTACATAGTGTTGTTCTTGGATGTTTTACCTGTCTTCGATCTTTGTGTAATATCTTCAGAATTGAATAAGATCTGATTGCATTGGTTATTTCTGAATAATTATATAATGTACATTTTGGTGGTGCCTTTTTCTGTATAAAAGCCTCTTCCTCAGATGTGTTTTAGCCATCTTAAAAGAACAGAAGGAGCTCAAAGGCTATGTTTCCAAGATTCCTGGAGCACAGGTTTTGTTTGTCTATAATGGCACTCAAAAAGATACATATGTTGTCCTTGTGACTGTGGGATGGCCCAAGTAATGCAGCCCCTTGGTGTTCTGACCAGGGGAGAAAATTTGAATTGTTCAGGGGGATCGTGTGTTATAGATAATGTGGGTGCTTCTGGGAGTCCCCCATGCCTGACAACTCCAGTGTAGGATGCACCAGGAAATTTGTCTGAGATTTCTCTTGAGCCACTGTGATGGAGTGTTTAGAGTGTTGAGTTGGAACTAGGGAGACCTGAATTCAGATCTTCACCCTGTCATGAAGCTCATTTGGAGACTGTGTCAATCAGCCTAACCTACCTCGCAAGGTAGTTGGGTGGATAAAATGGAGGAGGGGACACTAGGTATGTTACTTTGACTTCCTTAAAAGAAGGGACAGATAAAAATCTAATATATAATTAAAGCGGAGACGACTGTTTTAGCACCACCTTATGAGTGGGTCTGCAATTGAGGAAATGTGGCCTTTTAGCTGCAGTGCTGGACTTACACTCTCATCTCTTGGAGCACAGTTTTCATTTGCCTGTGGGTAAAAACTGGAGGCACTCAAAAAGAGAAATGTTTTAGATAAATAAGTAATAAATCTGCACCAGACATCCTTGCAACCATCTCCCAATTCTTTAAGTGGCACTTAATTTCAAGGAAACAGGCATAAGATTGGCAGCCCCTATTTTGATCCTTTCTCTCCTCCCACAGCCTTAAACTCAGTCGACAGCTTTGGACAAGTTATACTGTCTCAGCTTCAGTTCCCCATCTAGGAAATGAGAACATGAGAGACCTACTCATTTGTAAACTGTCTTGCGCAAATCACCTGCAATCCTAAGAATGCCTTCTGGACAGCAAGTGCCATTAAATAAACAGAAACTTACTTCCAAGGAGACCTGCTTTGGATAGTTCCCTTTCGAGTGCTACATAATAAAGTGCATTAATTCTTGTAGGAGGCTTAGAGATAGAGCCCAATTGGGAGCTTTCATAACATTTTTCAAATAGCAACAGTTCATGTGGTGGTGCTGTTGGCACCAAGGAATCTACCTAATCTGTAGTAAGTATAGAGTAGGCAGGCTGTGGTTATTCAGCTGGTGAGGGAAATACTTTCTGCACATATTGAACATATTTTTCTCTAGATTATTCTTGGCATTAGAGCATTGTTGGCATGGGGGGTAATGGAAATCCATATCTGAAGTCTGGGCTGGAAATTCTGGTAAACAGGAATGTGCTGAGAAAGGTTATTCCCTACAGTAAAAGTGTTACTAACAGCAGGAAGTTCTTGCAAGGAAAAAAACCCCCTTGAATAGCTTTATTTGTTTAGCTGTTTTAACATGTGGAGGATGGAGCAAAACTGCTTTTGTTTAAGCCTACGGGCTGGGCCTGGGAGTGGCTCTTTCAGTAAGATGTGGGTATATGAGAAAGTCCACAAAGATCAGCATTTACGTAACTTGGCAGGAAGCCGTATAGTATTTCTTTCTTTTGTTAACATGACCAGGATCTGCCCTAGTTTTCAATGCTAGGGTGCAGCTAAGAGCATGTAAAAGTAAAAACAAAGACTATAGTATTTCTCAGTAGGTACAGAGTTTATTTATTTTTATTTATATTTCAATTTCTATACCGCTCATGACCCCTAATGGGTCTCAGAGCGGTTTACAAGGAACTACATATTTTTTCTCTTTCCACTTGAGCTTTTTTCATTTACTTAGAGAGAGTGTTGGCTTCCTTCAGGTAAAGTATTTTAAGAATTAAGAATGTGTGTCCCATTGTAAAATTTTTACAGTGAAAATTTTCCTTGGCAAAATTCTGGTGCTTTTGGCTTTTCTACCCAATCTCTCCCCCAACAGTTGATCCCACGTTATTCAATTAAAATTAGCAGCAGTAAATTCAGCATGGACAAAAGGAGATATTTCTTTATACTATGCAATTATGTAATTGATTCATAGAATTTGCTGGTGTAACTTACAGTAATGACCACTAGTATAGTTTTAAAAGAGGAGTGGATACATTCATGTAGGAGGATAGGTTTAATAATTTTAGTATGACAGTTGTATGGAGTGTTAGATTCACTGGTTTAGTAAACCAATAATCTCTACCTTATTTAGCAGAGTGCACATAAGAACATAAGAGACGCCAATGTTGGATCAGGCCAAAGGCCCATCCAGTCCAATACTCTGTCACACAGTGGCCAAAAATACCAGGTGCCATCAGGAGGTCCACCAGTGGGGCCAGGGCATTAGAAGCCCTCCCACTGTTGACCCCCCCAAGCACCAAGAAGACAGAGCATCACTTGCCTCAGAGCCCCTATCTATACCTTGTGGCTAATAGCCACTGATGGACCTCTGCTAGAGAAAGAAGAATTTTTCAGGTAGAGAAAGAAGAACTTTTCTCTCTTTTTCACAATACAAGGACTCATGTGCACTCAATGAAATTAATAAGCAGTAGGCTTAGAACAGATAAAAGGAAGTACTTCTTCAGTCAAAGAGTAATTAACACATGGAATTTACTGCCCTGGGAAGTGGTGACGACTACAAGCATAGACAGCTTTAAGATGAGATTGGATAAATATGTGGAGCAGAGGTCCATCTGTGGCTACTAGCTACTGAGTACAGATGGAACACTATGTCTGGGACAGTGATGCTCTGTATTCTTAGTGCTTGGGGGGCAATAGTGGGAGGTCTTCTGGAGTTTTGGCCCTGCTGATGGACCTCCTGACGGCACCTGGTTTTTGGCCACTGTGTGACACAGTGTTGGACTGGATGGACAACTGGCCTGATCCATCATGGCTTCTCTTATGCACTTATGCATGTGAGTTCACAAAGAGGGAACAGAGGAAAAAATCCCTCATGACCAGGCCCTCATAGAAGCCCAGCTAATACCAAGCCCAGGGTTCGCAGGAGAAGCAAACTGCAGCTGCCAATTCTTACCCCAAGTCGTGCTGGTCGTCTCCTAATGCCACGGGCATGATAGGGTTGCCCCCGAGCTGGAGAAGCCTCTTGTGCAGTTTTTTGGCAATAAAATTGAACCTGGGCAGAGAGGACAGCAGTGCAGTTAGAGGAGTCTGTGGGAATCAGCTTCTGCCCATCATTCCCAAAGACCTGCATTTGCTCCTGGCAACAACCACAGCAGCTTGAAACCTTCCCCAACCATTCTGCTTGTACTTCTCTCACAGATAAAGAAACTGAACTCACTTGGGATATGAGGAATCTCCAAGGCCCAGGACCGCATAATCCATCTGGCACAGGGAAGTGGCAGGTAAGCTTTTTCGGAAAAGGAACCTCCAGAAATTCTGAACATTAAGGGAATGGGAAAGATACAAACAAAATCAATCCACTGGGGCCTGAATCATTTGTAGCATCACACCCTATCTCTGTTTAGGAAGCGAAGTCACACTGCTAGCTGTCTACCAGGCAGGATTCTTTCTCAGCCCTGCCAGCTATGATTAGGAGATGAGATTCTTTCCCTGCATGATACAATTAATGGTCAAATTTTGAGTAAAGAAGCTTCAAACTTAGAGATAAGATAGAGTGCTGCGAAGCACTCAAGCTCCAGGCAAACTCAGTGGATCAGCTTGTTCTAGGACCCAACTCAATTGGCTATTCCTCTCCCAGGTCAGATTGCCCAGTAATCCACATCATGGCACTAAACGGGATACCTTCATATTATCAGGAGGGTCTCCTTGACCTGTGGTCGCACAGACAAACACAACCAGTGTCTCATGGATCAGGTTTGCCTTCATTAAAAAAAAAACACACATAGGCAAAGCAGGTCATTAATACAGTCATTAAAACAAATTAAAGTACTTGCATATGTAACAGAGCATTCAAAGGCTAGTCTCAGTGGCTGCATTTTAAAAAATAGCTGATTTTTCAGTAATATGTATATTTCCATCAGCATGAAAAAGAATAACTAGTTCTGCTGAAAGGCCTGGTACCCTGGCCAAAAGTGCAGCAGTTACTTCATCACTGACTCTTTCAGAGTAACTACAGAACAGCAATAAAGCTGCTACAGTGTGTATCTCCACTATACCACAAGGACATAATCACTGTTTTGAAGGGATTTGCTTGCAGCAGCCTTCAAAGATGGCAAAACATTACAACATGCTAATGTAAAAACTCCCCTATAATTCCATACACAAGATTCTTCAATAATCTGCATAATTCTTAAGTATTGGATAAAGAAAATATTTTAGAAATGGGCAAACTAAATTGGAGGATGCAATATAATGTCTAGTTCTAAGCAATGGGGAGGGGTGCCCTTAAGTGTTGTGGGGATGACCCTGAAAAGCAAAGCAGATTAAATTCAGTAATGTGTGAAAAGAAAAATCAGTTGCTTCCTCCCTGACCTGGATAGCCCAGGCAAGCCCCATCTCATCTGGCAAGTACCTGGATAGGAGACCTCCTTGGAATACAGGGAGGCAGGGGCAGGCTTTATTCAGCCACCTCTCTGAATATCCTCCAGGCCTCCAGTAGGAGTCAGTCAACAGAGGTTGCCGTGACTTCCAGGTACACACATACTCACACTCGCACACACACATGTGAAAAATACAGAAACAAAAAAAAATAATCAGTTGCTTTCCAAGAAGTCTATCCCAGACACCCTCATTTTTCAGGAAGCAGGGCAGCTAATGTGGATCTTTACAAGATGTACTATTACCCCCATATTGCAGATAGGCAGGCTGAAGGTGTAAAAGCCACTGAATGAGTCTACAGTAGAGGTGAGAGTCAAACAGAAAACTTCACAACCTTCAGTGCGGCACTCACCATACTGTAGCTGTCCAAGGCCTCAACTTTGCACTGGAAATGACGCCGCTTGGCTTCCCGGCCAATCCTCTCAGCGGTATCTTCGGCAGTTCCAGGTTTCCCCAATGGTTTTGACCCTTTCTACTTTTCCTTTCAGTTTCCTCCCCACATGTGCCCTCATATCAGAGAAGTTACCCCTTTTAAAGTTAAAAGTGGTTGTGTCAGTCTTTTTGGCCAATTCCATATTTATACAAATGTTGAACTCAATAACATTATGATCACTGTTCCCAAGCGGTGCAATCACTTTTACATCTCTCACCAGGTCTTGAGTGTTACTTAGGACCAAATCAAGGATCACCTCTCCCCTGGTGGATCGCCTCTTCCCTGGTAGGTTCCGTGACCATCTGCTCCATAGCACAGTCATTTAGAGTGTCTAGAAACTCAATCTCTTTTTCTCGACTAGAACACATATTGACCCAATCAATATGTGGGTAGTTAAAATCACCTATTATGACACAGATTTTTTGTCTAGCTGCTATCTTTAATTCATTCATCATTTTATAATCCTCCTCTATCTTTTGATCTGGTGGGCGATAACAAACTCCCAGTGTTAAGCTTCCTTTTGGGCCCACTATTTCAACCCATAGCATTTCCTGAAGCGAATCCAATTCTCTTACCCTCTCAGTCTTACTGGACTGTATACCCTTTCTGACATACAGAGCCACCCCACCTCCAACCCCCCCCCATCCTTCCGATATAATGTATAACCAGGAATCACTGTATCCCACTGATTTTCCTCATCCCACCAAGTTAGTGAGACAAGTAAACCAAGTCTATTTTTCCCTCCAACACCAAGCACTCCAACTCCCCGAGTCTACCTTGGACACTTCTAGCATTTGTATAGAAACAGCTATAATTTCCCATACAAGTTAAGCTTGCAACCTTCCTCTTGCTGTCTTGAGACCTTGTCAGGCAGTCCATGTCACTATTCGGTCTGATCTAGCATGGCTGGACATTCGGTCTGATCCAGCATGGCTGTTCTTATATTCTTAGTGATCACTGGTTATTAGCCATGATCGCTAAATGGAATGGAATAGAACCTTCAAGTACAGACAGCTTTGAGTACCAGCTACTGGAGATGGGCTTCCCCTTGGATTTCCCAGGGGCATCTAGAAACAGGAGAGATTTTTGGTTTAAGACAGCAGTGTTGTATTTATCTTATGTTTAGCTGTGACTTGACAGCACCAACTTACAGTGACCCCCGTAGGGTTTTCAAGGCAAGAGATGTTCAGGGGGTGGTTTGCCATTGCTGCCTCTGCATCGCAACCCTGGACTTTCTTGGTGGTCTCCCATCTTCCAGGCCAGGGCATATTATGTTTCTATGTAGCCAAATGCTCTTGTAATTTTCTAAAATGAGAAATGTGGGAGCTCAAGCCTTCCTGGAATTTTTCCTGTCTTTCCCCTACCCTAATTATTTGGCAGTATGTCTTGAGATGGGAAATGGCTCTCTGCAGATGCTCAGGGGCTGTCTTCTGATTGCTTCATGGTGTGGTAGGGCCAGTTTGCTGGCTAAAATGTGCGTGTGGGGGTGACTCCGTGTAATAGCTTGTATTACGTCCAATCAAAATGACACAAATACTGTGAACGCACAATGTGAGATAAGAAAGGCACTGCACACGGTCAGAGATACTCCTGACATATACGAACAAGCCACCAGGCTCAAAGTCAGCCCCAGCTGACTCCAGGACGCAAAGGTGTACGCGCCTCGCCCAATCAGCTCGCTCACAAGAACGGAACTAGTGACTTGAGCCGTTACATCGAAGTAAAGGAGGGGAGAAGGATGGTGTCCTATCCAATGGAAGACAGCGTTAGAAACAACCTGAAGAAGTATCTGTCTTTAACCCTCTAGGCACCTGCCGTAACCTTAATCTCCTTTCCCCAAGTGGGGCGTCACTCTTGCTGAATTCTTATCTGATTGCAAGATGAGAAGGCGAATACGGGGCGGACTCAGTTCCTCGACCAATCACTTTCACCGCCTACCTCTGCTTTACAAAGTTGAACGTCTTGCCCAATGGCTCACTTTCGAGCCTCACTCTTGTCCAACGGGAAGTATTTTCTAGCCAGGAAGGCGAGGCCATCAACCTGATACCCAATAAACTGCGCTAAACATCCTTGTCCAATAGGTATCTCCCGAGGCACTCTCATGACCAATAGTCATCGCCCTCACCCCAAAAGTTTCGCCCTGTCAAATGTTAGCCAATCAGCTTCGCCGCCACCGGAGCCTACTTCTTCGCCTCTCGCCCAATCGCTGTCGTCTGCCCGCTGGGCGGCACCGCCGCTGCTTGCCGGTGTCCGAAGGCGAGAGGAGAGGCGGGTCAGAGCGGCGGCTCGGCGCCGACCAAGCTGGTGTCTGTGGGGGGCTTCTGCTGTCGCCATGAGTAGTCCTCCGGCCTCGGGAGCGGCGGCGGGGCTGCCTGCCTGGAAGCGAGCCATCCTGGAGCGCAAGCGGGCCAAACTGGCCGCCGGCGTCGAACCCCACCGAGGCTTGGAGGCGGATGCGAAGTCGGGGTCGGGGAAAGA